ACGGCGGAGTCGCACAGGGCAACCCCTCGTCTCGTCGCGGATACGTCGAGTCAGCTGAACTGCCGTTACGCCGGCGGAAGAAAAAGAAGAGAGAGAGAGAGAGAGAGAGAGTTGTCCGCGCGCGCGCGCGTCCACCGTGACAATAACCACGATGGTCAGGCTGTATGTCAGGGAGGGGTAGTTGTCTCGTGGAACCCTGCAATAGGCACACTGAAGCCGTTCCACCAACCGTTCTCTCCTCCAGCCTTCCAGCGATCAAGCCACTCCCGTTACGTCGCATGCGCGCCCACACCACCAGCCACCCCACCGAGACAAGAATTTGTGCGTCTGTGGGGGTGCTCGCGTGCGCCCAACGTCTTGCTCGCGCGACCGACTCTGGAACACCACGGTGACTGCTGCTGGCTGCTGCTTCTCCGTAGGGGTGGCGTTCTCCGAATCCGGTTATTACCTTTTTTTTCTTTCTTTCTTTCCTTCGCCGCGGTTATTCTCCTACCCGCCGCCGACACGTCGGGGGATACTTTTATATACGTCGTTGGACTCGATTCTCGTCGCGGACGAATAATTGGACCCGGTTCTTTCGCTCGTTCTTTCTTTTCCACTTTCTCTCCTACTTTATCCCCGTCTTCCTCCTCCATTTTCTCGATCCTTCTCGTTCTCGAGAAATTGGACTTTTCCTCGAACTCGTACGTCGTTCGTAAGTTTTGTTCCTCGTGTATTATAATGGATGTTATTACGCGCTTTTCTCGCTTTACGCACGCGCTTTTTACAATCGTGCGTGTCGCGTGGGGAATACGGAGAGGATACGCGAGGATAAGAGATCTCGTGAGAGATTTTATCGTGGGGTACGATTTTAATTCGCGTGCACACAAGTGAGCGGCGTTCCTTGGATCGATGAACTTATCGACTCGGCCGCTTTATGGGTCAGTCGGAAATGTCGTCAGAGTCAGAGTGGCAATACGCCGGAGAGACTAAGGCCATCAGATATATACACGCACACGTTCTAACTCGTCTTTCTTTCTCGTATCTCGTATCTCGCGGGTAAATAAAAAGTCTCGAGATAAAAAGTAGATAAAAAAGAAGAAGAAAATAATGTGAAGAATAATGTTACTTTTTTTTTTTTTTATAATCGTGCCTCGTTCTTCTAACGCGCGAATTCTTGTATTCTCCCCCGAATTGTCGCCGAATTATAACTAAGGAAACCAGTTGTGTGTTTATAAACGCATTTTTATTTGAAATTGATACGATCTGGGGGATAATTTGCGATTGTTAGTCTCTTATTTAACGAGATCCTGAAGTTTTGGAGAAATTACATTTATATAGAAAGTTTAGTTAATTCGTTCAATTGGGTGTGTTTTGGAGATTATCTAGACTTCTTAGATTTTTCGAAATAAAATTATGATTTTATTCGTGTTTTGCGAAATTTGAAATTTTCATGCGTGGAATCTTTTTTGTCTGCTTTCCTTACAAAGGAAAGGCTTTGAATACTTGCATATATTTTACAATAAATTACAAACGACCGCGACATTCCCTCCCCCGATCGAAAAAATACAAAAATACGACAAAAGTGTCGATCGAACGCAATGATTCGAACGTGTTTCGTTTAAACATGGCACGGTTAAATAAGAAAAAAAAGGAGTTCGAGTAAACAGGAATATTTGAAAAAGTAAAATGAAAGAAAGTTCGATCGAACGCGACGATGATTGAGTTTTCGATGCGTTATCGTTGATGCGGTTAGATGCAGGAAACAATTAGCAGCACCGTTCGACCGATATGATCCATACGAAGGAAGGAAACGACGAAGATAAAGAAAAATTGGATTTATCGACCATTTATCGAGCGAGGATATTTATTTTTCGCGGAGGATCGTCAGAGGAAGAATTCTGATTGAAAATAAATTAAAGACGACACTAGCCGGGTATTCGTTCGTAGATAAAAATTACCTTTGTTCGTGTCGACGAGGCTACGTCGCATCGAAGACACGCGATCCTCTTCGTGCGAATACGACCCAATTCGATTCGTTTTGATCCAGATGAAGTCCCGCTCATTTCCACCCTGTGCAGTTATTCTCTGCCTTCATCGAAGCGAGTATCGAATTTCAATGCGACCAATACTTGCGAGACGATATTCAATGACACGTTATTTAATAAAGCAATAGCAAAAAAAAAATTTTATCCTTCCTTCCTTCGTTCGCGTTAATTTTAATTGTGAAATAATTCAACGATCGATGATACGATCGATCGAGAGACGAGTTTAAATTTGAAATATTTCTTTAGGAAAAGGAAAAATCTTGCGATCTCGTCGATTATTTTCTCGCCGAGAAATGTGGAATAAACGTGATGATTGGTGATCGGGGATTGGAATCAAGATAAGTGAACACGTTGTGGAAGTTTATGTGGAAGAATTCAATTTTCCACGTCGCGCGATAATCGATGCAATCATCAACGCATAATTTGCACGGATATATTCAGCAGATACGCTCATTTCGCAAGACCGTGTTTTTGCCGCTCTTGCAAGCGCATCGAGGTAATGGCTTGGAAACAGTTACTTAATATTTTGCACGCTCGGTCGGCCCATTGAACCACTCACCGGCAAAGGATGGAGAGTTTAGAGAAGCGCCGTTTGAAAAATTGCGCTAGGTCGATAAGTTTCCCCGAGTTAAGGATGAAAAATTGTTGGGGGGAAACCCATCACCTTATCACGGGTGGTGAAAAAACGAGAACTTGGCCTTGACGAAAAAAGGCGAAATCGGAATAAAAACTCGACGAAATCGATGAACGACGTGGAAGAGATTGATTCCTTCTTGAATACGTAAGAATATCGTTCTGATCTGATCGTTGTTCACTTATCGTTTGCTTCGTCGATGCGATTCATTCGATTTTTTAATATTCGATTATTCACGAGTTATAATTTGAAACGAATGAAAATTCTACTATTACTACTACTACACTATTGCGTATCGTATTTTTCAAATATTCAAGTATCGATGAAATGGAACGAATTAGAGAAGAAATTATTCCCTAAAGGTTTGGAACGGTAAACTCTCTTTTGCCTCTTTTCGAGGATTTATTTCTTCGATTTTTATGAGCGCCGGAAGCTTACTTTTATATCCCTTGGCCGAGTGCCTGGACGACGTCCACCTTTATGATCGTCCTCATCGAGGACGTATTAATGGTCGCTTCCTTTAAAATTAATCCCACGAAATATTCGAGTTTGAGTAAAAACTTTCGAGAAACTTTTCAATTTCATGGAAGCGTGCGAATCAATTTAGAATCAATAGCGTGTAGAATCGTATTACATACGATCTATGGACTTTTTTGAGATAGCATACTATTGTCACGACAGTAAGAAAAATTTAATTTGAAAAAAAAAAAAAGAAAAGAAAAGAAAAAGAAACGATAAAGAAACGAACGATAAAGAAGTTCGAAAATAACTTGGAACGAAGATAACCTTGAAATTCCTACAACCGCAATTAACAACTTGGAGACAATATCAAGCTCAAGAATCTTGACCGACTGTACAACAAAACTATACAAATCCTGCCATCATCCTGCCGACTGAAGCGAGGCGTCACAAAAATCTAAGGATTTTCGTCGCCCCTATATAAATGCAGATCCGAAAGTTAGCGCGAAGACGGAGGAAAGTTCCGCATTTCCGGTTCGCAGGCGCAACATCATTAAAACTTTATCAATGACGGGTACGCGGCGAGATTTGGGCGCACTCGCCGCGCGGGCATGCGTATTCCGCGCGATACGCGCGGCAAAGTCTAATTATTGATCACCGAGTGCGCGTCGTGCCACGTGAAAAAGGGGCCCTCTCTTTGTTTCCCCGAAAGAATCGACGTATCAACCGTGCCGATAAAAGCCGCGATAAAAGGTCGGAGTCGAAGTGTGATAACGCGTTTTTTTTTCTTTCTTTTCTTTTTTTTTTTTTTTTTTCCTTCAATCGATCGCCTTTGAAACGCTATTTAATCGCGAGTCGAAATAGGCGCCGTACTCGCGCGTGACGAAAATCGAGCAACGTTTCTTTCAGATCGTAATTTTTTATGAGTAACTCTCTTCGCTCTCGAGAGGAGCTCTATTCTCTTATTTGTTATTTTCATTCGTTTTTCCTAACCTCGTAGGAATGGAGAAATCGAGTATCGATTGCTCGAATATATATCGTGTGTTAAAAAAAAAAAAAAAAAATAGTGGAGGGAAAAAGGAAAAAACGATGAAGAGATAGATTTTTTTTTTTTTTTTCAAGAAATATAAAGAATTCTTAATAGCATTTCTTAAAGATGCGCATAATTCGTGTATTCGTGCCACGGTTTTATCTCGACGCCACCAGTCCAATTCCTGTTCTAGCTGTTCCATAATTTATGAACGCAGAACGGTATGATAAGATAAATAATAAGTTGCCGTTGGTTAACGAAGAAGCGGTATAAATCGCGCGCGGTTGTTTTTCACGCCGAGAAACAAGAAGATCGCTTTTGTGCGGCCACTGTTTTATCGTCGGAAAGGAAACGCGGGGAGACATTGAACGGGAGAGACTAGCCGTTTTGAACAGTCGCGTTTCCGCATTACGTGAAACCTCTATTGTTAGCCCGACGACATTATCGTTCCAGTTGTTGCTGCTTGTTTAAACATCGCTCCTTTCTTTTCTTTTTTCTTTTTTTTTTTTTGTTTCTTTTCTTTTAACTCGTTAAGTTAATTTTAATGGCACGTATAAATGTCAAGAATGGCGAACGATACGATTCAGTTTAACCTGAAACTGAAACAGGAAGAATGAAGCGGCGCGCTCGCGTATATAAGGTGTTTCCTTTGTCGAATCTTTGAACGAATAATGTAATCCCTCGAATATCTTTTCCACTTCGTTTTACTTTTTTTTTCTCGTTTCGTCGAAGAGGAATTTTTGAAAGATATTATTATACGATGTATTTAGAGGAAGATATTTCAACTTATAATAATAAATTCGAGACAGAGAGAGAGAGAGAGAGAGAGAGAGAGCATATACTTACTTACCTCGTTTCGAACTGCGAGCCTGAAGATGAGCCGTGATTATGGCGCACAATTTTTCACATTTGGTGATGAGATAATCCTTTCGACGCAACTGTCGAACAAGTATCTCGCCCGTGTTATTAATATGATCCCGTAAATTCATCACCAAAACTTGAAGCTCGTGATTGTCTGAAAAGGATACAACGTTGTACGTTCATTCTCGGGAAATTCTTTTTTTTTTTTTTTTTTCGATCTCGTGCAAATTACACAAGTATGCAATATTCCAGATTGCGCATATGGAAGGGGAGGGAGGGGGTTGTTTAAAAATTGAAGTGTCTGGAGCGTTTTTTGTAATTTGGACGCGGATAAAAGCGAAGACACTTGGAGAGAAATCTTTGAACTCTGGCTGCAATCTTGATAACGGGCCGGAAGAGGGTTCGACTGTGTACACAGGTCGAAGATTACAGTTCTTTTTCCTAACCCTTTCGCTTATGCTCCCCGCGTGTTTCAACGAAACGAACGTCACGTTCATCATCCGCTCGCTTTTCTTTCCGGACACGAGTTGAAATCGGAATCGGAGTCGAAGAGAGAAATAATCGAACGGTAATTAATTAAATATGTTGCATCGTGGTAACTTTTGCTTGAACAAAAATTTGAATGGCAGATATGTATTATACGAGATGTGAAAATTTAAGGAAAAAGAAGGATCGTTGATTCGATATGACGAATCGAGAATAGAAATTTTTCGAATTCAGATATTCTTGTCTAGTCGAGCATTTTTATGTCACTCTTGTATATCATATATCGGTGGAGACCGATTGTAATCATTTTCACGCGGTGATTCGATCATTGTGGGTTTCAACTTAAGATACGTGCAATCTCTCCCCTGTTTTTCCCTATGCATGTTCAACGAGGCGGAACGAAGCAGCATCGTGTATAGAGATAAAAGAAGTGCTTCCCCCTCGAAAAAGGAAAAAAAAAACGGGGAGAGAAAAAAAAAGTAGCACTCCAAGTCAAAGAACCTTCTTGCCTCGAAGTCAACGAGGTCGCTTGTCTGTCTCGTCTCTACGACCTCTTGTCTCGTCAGCTTCTGCCAAAGTATCTTTCCCTAATTCCCGGGAATTTCGAACTCTCGATACACGTCAAATTGGGTTTAAACAGCGTTGAACAATGGTGGACATCGTTCCCTTCCCTCGCAAATTTTCTCGATCGAAACGTTGACTTTTGACAATTTGTGCGACGAATAATACGTATAAATAGATGTCGCGCTTTTATTCCAACGTTTTATTTTATAATTCTTTTTTTTTTTTTTTCAGAAAAATATTACGTAAGTATCGTAACGTATCCGACAATCTTCTCCCCCCCCCCTTCCCCCCTACCTCTCGATATTATTTTGCAAGAAGTGTCTGCATTTCCGTGAAAAATACACACAATAAATGTCCTCGAGGTAACACGTTTATCCGCCCACTCACGACCGACCTCTGTTCTTTCTCGCACATACACGGACATTTCCATCTGTTATTGAATTATTCTTACTTTTCCACAGCAGACGCGCCTTTTGCAGGTGCTGATGCTGCGGGTGTATTATCCTCAGAGATGAGGCTGTCGAGTCGCTTTCCGATCGTCTTCTATCACCGTCTGGCAACCCGTAGATATCCAACAACAATTGATCGACCAACGAAGAAACGGTCCCTTCTTTCCTCACCGGTGGATTGGGTAACGGTGGTGGATACGACTGCGAAACAAACACCAAAACGAAGATAATCCTTGGTATCGTCGAAAAATGTAGAGAAGAGGAAGAGGAAGAAAAATATCTATTCGAAGCAAAAATCGTACCTTCGGCTTGCAAATGTTGACGTCACATTTTATGCCGTCACTTGCCGTCGTCCAATCGTTATCTACGTTTCTGGTGTCGCCCATCGATTTAGATCTCTTCAAACGTTTCCTCTCCGCTTCGACCGGCACGAAGCTGCCCCTTCTGATCGGTTTCTTCCGATTCAACTCCATGAAATCGGGCCCTTTCCACTCTTTCTGAATCAGATTGCATCTCCTCCTCTCGTACAACGAGGGAAATTGATATCCATCCGCGCAGTACAGCAAGTTTCGCGTTTGTTGGGTGACGTACACGTCGCCGAACACCCGCTCGTTCTCCACGGCCACGCATTTCACGCGGTAGCTAATTTCCGCGTATTTCTTGAGGGGCATCACGTTGCACCCCATAGTTCCATCCAACGTGACTAAAGCTTATCTCTAGTGCTACTATTTAAAATACTTGCTATTTGATACTTATTTCAGAGAAACCAAGCTCATTTCTTCAATCTGTTGAAATTTTGAAAGGTGGAAGCTCGAGGCTTTTATGGATCATCATCGTTCGCTCGATTGTGACGGCGTTGTGAGGTTGTGTAAGGTTGATTATTCGTGAAATAAATCGGCGATATCGTTTCGCGATAATCGGGAACGCTGCTCGTTTCGATGAGAACATTTCACGTTTGAAACAGAATTCGCACGCGTTAACGCCAAGCCATTGATGGTTTCTCTTTTTGCTTTTGGTTTTGGTTATCAGGCTTTGGTTATCGTTTCGTGTCGCGCACGAAAATTTTCTCATTCGACAACTTCATTGTGGAAATTTATTTTTAGCAGAACCCTCTTGCGTCTTGTACAAGAATCCAACCGATTCTATCTCCAATACGCAAAAATTCTGATCCGACGTTATGAAAGCTGTAATTTACAGCTTGTCGTATGTAAATTCGCTAATAGTATTTTACTATCAATAAACTATTACAGGGGAATCGAGGCGTAAAATATGTAGCTTTGTTAATAACAAGCTAGGCAAACATAAATTCTTCGTGTCGAAATAATGATTAATATAAATTATCAAGAATTTGACGATATACGCGGAGATATAATAAAAAATTGATCGAATTAACTTTAAATACTACTCGTTCGATACAAGGATAACAAATGATCTTTGTCGCGGTTGTGATTAATTTAACGTTTGTCACTTTTGATAAACGTATTTGCACACTCGTGATCACATATATATTTTCATTTTCATACATTATTATTATTATTATTATTATCATTATTATTATTATTATTATTATTATTATATTAAAATGGAACCGATAATCGAAGACAAGGATGATAGAGCAGGCAACAAAATTGCACGATAACGTTTATTTAACGACACGATGCAAATTGCAAATATGGGATAACGTGGAAAAATATCGCTCATTATTTCGTCTTCTCTTTTAGAATTCATTTAACCAAATTGCCGATTATCGTGTACGTGTATTAATAACACTGAAAATGCATATATTAAATGTCACTCGTTTTACGCTTCCACGAAAAAGAACTTGAAATGTCACGAGAGAATATTTGATTTACTGTTAAATTAAAATAATCGAGCGTAATTTCTCGAAAGAAATTTTATTTCACCTTTCACTCGTTATTGTTCGCGCGTTCACTTTTTGGAATCTTTATTAAAAAGATTATTTTATTCACATTTGAAAAATTCGATCCCTTTTTTTCTTTTTCGCACCACTTTGATTCTTCAATATTTTTATATCACGACGAATAATTTTTGATCGCGACAATTGTTCCGACTTTTTCTTTAATCCCGTTCATCCGTTGTTCACGGATCAATATTGTTCAAAATTTTTGCATTTTCTACGCGTTTTATTCCTTATCACGAGGCCGGTAATTCGCTTCTGGTGGCCAGACCGCAACTGGAAGTGGCGACGATAGTAATCGTTTCATTAAGTCCATACCTCCACTTATGTTGTGTGGCCAGCTTGTTGACAGAGGTGATGCGTACAAGAAAAACAGAAACAGTTGTCGTTACTTATATAATTTTCACCACTGCTAAAAATGGTAAAACATTCCTGCGCGTTGACAATATCGGTATAACGTTACCGATTACTTTTACTTTCTTGCAAATACAAATTTCAACGTGGTAGATGGCGCAAAGTAAATAAATAATATTTGCTGTTTGAAATCGTTTGCAAACGCGAAATTTTTAAAAAAACGAGAAAAGTTAATATTTCGAATTTAAGTTACCGTGCGTTGTTCAAAATTGGAATAAAGCTCGAAGGGAAGGCAGGATTTTAAGGCGGTTATCGAAACCGCTATTGTTATCGGTGTCGTTGATAATAAAGCCACCGATGTAATGTACTGCATACTCAGCTAGAATTTTAAATGCTCTTCAATAGTGTGTGCAATACTCGTTCACCTGGTCGGTTCAATAACCCTTTTCCTAATAAAAAAACTGACGAAGAGGCAGATATACGACGCAAGTGCAAATAGGTGTGTGTGTGTATATATATATATATATATAATATTTCTCGCTAGGATTAAAAGATTAAAACGAAAGTATATACACAACATAAAAACATTTCCTGCCCACTTGATTGGAAATTTATTTCTCGAACTCGAGGAAATCGTCTCGAGCAGATTGATATATTTCTTCATACTTTTCATTCTGTACATTTTATTTCGTTAAAACAATTTTTAGTAGAGGCAACTTTTCGAGAGATTCTAAATATTTAGAATCATTCAAATCAAGAACCCTCCCTTTCTTCAAAAAAAATCTTTTTATCTTTTATTTTCGAAATTTGTTGTCGAAACAAAGAATATTACTCAACAAATTATCCAAAAGGAAGCGAATCGAATCGAAACGAGTTTGATCGATTCTTTGCCGCGGGGAAGATACGCGGTCGCCATGGGAACGAAACTTCCACTTATGGCCGATGTCGCGGCAAAAATTGCAGCGTACTTTCATCGTCGAGGTTATGCTTTGCGGTTGTTCCGCGGTTCTACGCGCTTATTCGCCACACGATTGAATCCCCTCGCAATCCAAAAATGATCGAAACGCCGTGCACATGCGAGAAAAAGAAGGAAGTCGAGGAGCGCACCGATGAGGTTTATCGGACCTGCAATCTTCCGACACGATTTATGTATCCCCGTAAGTGTGTGCAATTTATTAACATGACATTTTTCATATTTTTAACGAGTTACACGATCTTAATTATATAGCTTGATCGAATCTCGACGACAGATCGGTCGATAAATGCATGTATTTCTTCTTTCTCTCTTTTCTTCCTTTCGCTCGAATCGTTTTATGCAGTTCGTCGAATCGGTTCGCAGATTGATTTCGCGTGTAAAGTATACACGACAAGAAATTCCTCGTATATAACTAAAACGATAACGTTCTGCTATTAATAAGTCGGTATTGACGATCGTCGAAGCTTATCGGGCGAGCTACGTACATTTTTGCACATGTCATCACAGAAACCTTTTCACAAGATAGAAGTTGTACGTACCACGTGTCGCATTTTCGTTCGTTAAATCGGATGTGCAATCTTTCGTAATCGGATCGGCTTCGTTTCTCGAGAATGGAAAGAATGATTTCACACGTGTCGAAATATCTACGCTCGTTTGTGGATTTGTGTCATACACGTAATCACGACTGCAGAAAATATTCGTAGAAATATACATCGTCGAATATGCATTTTTCATGTATGACTGAGACGATATTAAAAGTGTAAATTAAACATTACGAACGTTACATTCCAATTTCTATCAATCTCTCGAGTATCGCAATGCTAATCCTCAAGAAACAGCTCAGAATACGCAGAAAAATAACTTGCCTGCGAATTGCCAAGTCTCCCCCATTAAGAGAAACATGCGAACAGATCTGTGTAAAAAAAAAAAATTTCACGGAAACGATGAATCTTCAATATCGGTACGAAGAAACCTTCTGGCTCTCCAATGCTGATCTCGATCGAAAATTGGCTCATTTTCAGGACGTGAAATACGGTTGATGTTAACGTTAATCAAGTATGAACTGTCGTTGTCACGGAGAAACTATCGTTTAAACCGAAACGGTAGGCAAGTTGCGAGTTTCGAGCGTTGAAAAATGGATAAAACTGGTGGAATTTGCAGAGAATTGTAGGTCGAGAATTGCAAATACGTACACGCTGTATATACGTGGAGGCTGATATATTTATCGAACGGTATCTGAGGAACGGTGACCGTTTCAGTTTGTTCCGTTGGCTGCACATCGAGACGCGATCCCTCCGTTCAGTAAGCATCCAGCATCTCTCCGCGTACCATGTGCTGCTTCCTCTTGCTCGTTTATCTCTTCTTATCGGTCACCGCTCGAGACGTCAGCGCGGAGGAAGTGGACTGCCAAGTTTATAATCATCTCTACGTCTGCCTGGGGAACAGCGTGCTGCACAGCGTCGCGTTCGAGGATGTGAACGCGGTGCAAACGATCGAGGATATCGAGCTGCACCTCGAGGGCCTCGGGATCCAGGATATCGCCAAGGACGCTTTCCTCGAGGTGGCCAACTCGTCCGCCCTCTACATCCGCGACAATCGATTGTCCAAGATTTTCAAACACTACTTCGCCGATTTGGACCAACTGACGTATCTCGATTTGAAGAACAACAGCATAGAGGACATAGAGGATGACTCGTTCGCCGAGTTGGACAGTTTGGAGACGTTGGTTCTGGATTACAATCGGATGATCGCCTTCCGCCCCGGCATGTGGAAGGGTTTGGTCGATCTCCACGAGTTGTACGCGACGAATAATAGGATCGCGTTGAGGAGGAACATGTTCAAAGGTCTGAGACACTTGGAGACGTTGGCCTTGGATTGTAACGAGATCAACGAGATACCGATCGGGGCGTTCAACGGGCTGCCCCATATCGATCTTCTTTATCTGTCGAGGAATAAAATCTCGTCGTTGCAGTTCGAGGTGTTTCGCGGATTAAGCGAGATCAACGAATTGGATCTCGGGCGAAATTCGTTGAGAAGCGTGTCCGGTGGGATTTTTCGTTATCTCAGGAATCTGAATTCTTTGTGGCTGAACGGGAATCAGATCGTCATGATTAAGGCGGACACTTTCGAGGGGCTGGACAATCTGTTGCTCCTGTTCTTGAACAGCAACAACCTCCGTTTCGTGGACATGTCCGCTTTCGCCAGGATGAAGAATGTTACCGTCGATCCCGGCTTCAAGATAGCCGGGAGGACGATGGACAATGTTTCAAACGTGCAAGGACGATTTCGTTGTAACAACGTCGCGTATCAGTTGCCTTACGAGTGCACGGAGATTGGACCTCTGCTTCATTGATGCATAAATTACCTGGAGTTAACCGGTGCCGGGTTTTTTTCATATAGAAACACGAGGAGATATAGTATATCCGTATCCATTGTTTGTAAACGAGAAATCATTGACGATCTTTTCTCTAGTATTTTTTTTTTTTTTTTCATTAATCTTAATCACATTCCATTATTCCACATATTACGGATTTCCTTTCTTTTTACGGTGTACGAGTTTTCTTTTTAGAAAAAAAAAAAAAGAAGTGGAAAAGACTTGTTTAGAGACATTTGCATTTGCTCGTCGTTTCACAATTGTTTTTTTTTTTTGTAAAAAATTTTCTATCATCGCTTCTAATTTTTGATGGAACTATCACTACTGTCACGAAAACGCCTATGTCAACTATGATGATTTATGTAAAATATTAGTAAAATAGACAAGGGAGGGAGGAAAACATCGTCTGTCGTGGACAACTTTATCCGATAAAAGATCGTTTTTTGCAGGAGTGTTCAAGGGATATCGTCAGGACGAGACTCCCCTGCCCCATCCTTGTTACAGAAGCACGGCGATGGATTATGGATGGTACGCGCCGACGATTCACACCGTGCCAACCTCTTATTATCCACGAGATAATTCTTTCAGCACGAATCAAGGACGCGGTGGAATGTATCGTAATTGTTCCTTGAATACGGTATTGGATAAGAGCAAAGTTTAAATTTCTCGTCTACGTCCGTAAATTCTAATCTCTTTCTCTCACGCTTGATCGCATTTGATTTGACCTCGTAATTTTGAAAATGAAGAAAATTATTTTCATTGATTAATACAACAACGATCACGAATTAATATAACTTTGACGATCGAATCGAATTATGATCAAACAAATTGTTATCGTTAAAATTATGTACACGTAGACGATCGTGTATTTAACAACGAAATTGTTGATCATTGATTGTATCGAGAATTAAACACGTCGATCGTATTTCCAATGTAATTTCCAACAGGTGGAAATATATTCGAAATGTATTGATGTAATTTTCACGTTAATTTAAATAATTTAAATAATGGTTTAATAATGATTTTTGTCGAGAGAAGAGCGCGAGGCAAATAATCGTGGCAAAAGAGAACGAACACAAATTATAAACGTGCATATAGATTCAGATAGAAGACCATGTTCTTCCAACACTTGATACGTGTACTTTAGAAAGAGATATGAACGAACATATTGTAATTGCGAAATGAAAAAATTATCAAGTATATGGAGATTCATTAAAAAGGAAAAAAGAAAATGTGTACGATATATCTGAATAATTAATAAATTTTTTCAATTTTATGTATACATAAATACTTAATATTTAAAAATTAAGAGATAAGGTTGTAATATTTCAAAGTCATAAGTATAATATTTTA